ACGCCATGTTGCTTCAAGCGCATCATTCTGCACACCGGATGCGCACATTGTAAGCGTTTCGTGCTCATAGACTGTATAAAAACAGTTCGTGCTGCACTATTTGTTTTGTCCTATCATATCTATCATATGTTGTTGCCTATTAAGTTGCTCAAGCAAGTGGCAAAACATTTAAACTACTTTTCTTACGTTATCACAAACTTACCATTGACAGAAAGAGTCAGCTCTACTGACTTTCCTTTTTCATTGAAATCTTTATTACAAGCAATCCTGCGGTTCATAAAGAACTTTGTTTTCCTACCTCTACGAGTGCCATCTATTATTGCCTTGTTTATCTAAAAGTGTTCTTTCCCTTTAAACCTAGCCAAAAAGCCATATGTGTTGACTGTGAAACACAGTAGACTTTAATAATATGCATTTATGGTGTAATTACTACATTTTCGTGTCAATCCATGTTCATATTTACTGAAAAAAAATGTGCTGTTACTTTAATTCAGCGCTTGCAGCGTGCGGAAACGATCTCTGCACTGCTGCAGACGCATCACTCGTGGAACGCACTGCCGGACACCAACCGTGTGCAGTTTGCACGATTTATTAATCTGTTACCATGAGCGAGGAAAAAATACGCACCACATTCACACTGCAAACGGAGTAATGTGAACCTGACATTATGTGTGTGCGCTGCGAGTGTGCATGAGCACACTGTCTAAAAAGTAATGCAATTTATAAACTTTAGTGACGATGTGACACTGCCTCGATTGTGCAAGTGACAATTCCTGTGTCAACTGTGCAGCGTGCAGCTCGCTTATAGTGCAGACGCGATGTGGTGATTTGAAGACATTTGCGTATTTTGAGAGAGAGCGTGCGCGGTGATTCACTCACGCTGTTTGAGAAATTACGTCTCACACAAGGTTTTCAAATTACTTTGTAAGTTATTTAATTAAGAAATATGAAGGAGTACCTCACCTTCAGCATTATAATTATTTCACCTGCGCCGGACAGAGACTGAGACGGTGCTGCTGCATGTCGTGCCAAACCTTCTCACGGCAGGCGCGTCATCAGCTTGAGATAGTTTTTGTGAGATCGGCCTTTTTAGAGACCGCCGATCAATCATCCCAAAGCGATTATCGGCCGATAGTGATCGGTAACCGATCAATCGGAGCACCCCTAGTATCAGCGCTTGACTTAAGTGTTAAAGGATGCTTAAGACTCAGTGTGTTTAAGATAATCGTGCTGTCATCAACCATGAGCTGACACTTCTCTGTTTATCGGCATGTGTGTGTGTGTGCATTAACGCTCTTTTTTTCTCACTCTTGCTCTCAGGATAAGCAGGGTATCCCGTGGTGGCTGGGTTTGAGTTATAAAGGCATTTTTCAATATGACTACCAGGACAAAGTCAAACCAAGAAAGGTAAGACTGTCTTTCCTCTGTGGACTTGCTACAGTTTGACTTCTTTTTGTCCTCCCTTCACATCTCTTCATCTTGGTCATCCCATAATAGTTTTACCTCCCTGATGGTAATTAGTAGTGCTTGGCAAAATTCATCCCTCACCAGTGGAACAAGTGAAACGAGACCTTAAATCATTCCACTTGTTGAGAAGAGGTGTGCCATTACTTTTCTGAGTGGTCAGACTTACTTGTCAGGCGATAAAATGGACAAATTAGTCTTTTTTGACTTAGGCAACCACCCAGAACCAGTCAATTCTTAAAATGTAGCTTATGACAGTGCTTTTTAAGAAAAGCTCTTTGTTTCTTCACGAGGGAAGGAAACAAATCCCACTTCTCCTTTAAAACTCTCTGCTTTGCAGAAAATCCAGTGAATGTAAGCAGTTTCCCTTATGCTGTGTTTTGAAACTTAGCTTGAGCTGTGTGTTTGTGCATGTGTATGAATATGAATATGTGTTCATCACTTGGTCACCTTTGCTTAACCTCATGATGTCAGCCAAGAGAAGTCTGACCGTCTGACACTTGGGTGTGGTGACCTCAGATAGGTCATGACCTCTGGCGGTCTGACCCCATAGCGTTTTTTTGTAACTTTAGACAGAGACTCTCAAACTTCCAGACAGACGATCAATGACACCAGGTAACTGAAATGCTACAAATCTGTCTGTCAGAAGAAACGCTTGCTGTTGGAATGACTTTACTTCAGGTGTGTCCCGCTGGCTTTGGTTTTCCATTCTCACAGCACATACCCATGTTTAAGTTCTCTCCAAAGGACAGGCAAAAACTTCAGCCTGTGGTGAGGAACAGAAAAACCTTTCCCAAAACCGCAAGCTAAAAATAGTGTTCAAAGCAGAACATCCAGCCAAGCGAAAAGCCGAACTCAGGCCTATTTACAGAGAAGGATCTGTTACAGAAAACGAGAGTTGAAATGAAACGACTCAGCAAAGGGCAGCTCAGAATGGAGGGAAGAGAAACCAGCGAGAAGAACAGACGCGTCTGCAAATACGCCACAGATGCAAACAAAACAAAATTATAGCTCTACTGACAAATCCACCTAAACCTGGATGACAATTTAAAGGGATAGTTCAACCAAAAATGAACATCATTTTCTCACCCTGATGATCCAAACCTGTAATGCTTATTTTTCTACTGCAGAATGCAAAATAATATAGTTTAAAGAATGTTTAAACTATTTTTGATGATACAGTGCAACAACATTGGACCCCACTGACTTTCATTGTATAGAGGGAAAAAAAATGAAATGGTAATAAGAAATGGCACTAGAGTGAGTAAATGATGACAATATGTTCAGTCTTGTGTGAACTATTATTTTAATCACAGAGAACAATCAGACATCTAGCCCTGCATTCAAATGCCAGGCTGCAACTTTCCACTGATCTGCATTTCATATGGGCCATTGCCACTAATGTTCTCATTACACAGTTTGCCTCCACATATGCACGTTTTAATGTTTTGATGATAAACTCACATGCGCTAATGGTTTGTGGCTGTTCTCCATCTGCAGGCAGTGTTTGTGAGAGACTGTGGGATATACTGTTAAATATGCCACACACTAAAAGTTGCAGACTTGGTGAGTGAGTGGTTGGGTTTGTTTAATGAGTTTTAAACTAATTTAAACCCTCTCCTAATGAGAAACCACAGAGCATTTGTTCCAAAGTGTGTGTGTAAAGTTTCACAGAGGTGTGACGAGTACATTTGTGGTTTCATCATGAATTGGGGTCCATGTGTTTCTCAAGAGCTATTGTCCACTACCTAAACTCCCTCCGCAGCCTCACTGACTCCAAAACCCACAACAGGAAACCCAGCAGCAGACACCCGCAGGATTACTGTCGCCCTGACAACACAAAACATACTGGAAACATTAGTGCGTCTGATGAATCCGGGACCACTCCCCAAAAACTGGCATGTGTGCGGCTGTTTCTGATTGGTTTGGATCAACTCATTAGCTCTACTAACTGAAAGATTCTTGCCTTGTAAAACATACAAACAGCATAGCCAATCTAAAAAAAAAATTATAGCTGCCCTTCTAGACAGATGTGACGTTATAGCTATGAATCATGGGATTGCAGCCCTTGAGTCACCTGTGATTGTTTTCATCCTGTCTGCTGCTAGTGACCTTTGACCTTTCCAATGCCCCGTCTTTTCTCATAAGCGCTCGTTATAGCTCCGGCTAAGTAAATACCATGCCACACACACAGTCTTCCTGTACTCTCTGCATGTCTTTGTGAGAGAAAGGGGTGGGGGTTTGTTGTATTATTCTATGTACAGACAGACTGCAGGGTGGGCGTTGTGCGTTATAATAAAAGCAACTGCAGTGAATAGTCATAGTGACGAAACGCCTATGACATTTACACTGAAACTCCTTAAAATCTAAACTCCCTTATATTGAAATTTTCTGAATAAGCGGGTTTTGGTCTTTAGTGATCTTTAGCTTTGTGCTTGAACTCTAGATAGGAATATGTTTTAATAAGTGGTTAGCTCTTCTAAAACCTGGTTAACTGTCTATAAAGGCAAGATTATAAGGGATCATGGTCTCAATTAAAAGTCAATTAAAAAAAGTTTCAAATAGCAGAAAACAAAATTATGCTAATTTCAGCCAAAAGCAGCATTGCATGTATTATTGGCAGATTAGGCAATCCCAGAATGCACTGAAAGATTTTATTTATTTATTTTAGAGCCCGACCGATATATATTTTTGCTGATTTTATCGGCCAATATGAGCCTTTCGCAGATATATCGTATCGGCGAATATGCCGCCGATATTAAATTTTTTTTTACAGAACATATAACACAGATGAAATGCTTCTAAATGGTGTAATTACTTAGTTTGTCCAGCAGAGCGCGCTCCATTGTTTGCTACTGGCGACTCAGGTCAGTGTAGAGAATGCGCGGATGAACTCAAACTTCACCCGAGTCCGCTACTTCAAATAAATTATCCGCTCGTGATCGCGGCCACTCAGTCAATGCTTGTGTTTATATCGGCCACGCCACGGCCCAGAACTCATGCTTATCACATCGGTCACATCACATTTCCTAACTGGGTGTCTACACCGGACGCGAGTGGCACGGTGCGGCATGACAAAATACAATAGAACCCATTATAATCAGTGATGCTGTCTACACTGGATGCGGCGCGACATGACAAATCCTGACAGTAAACTGATGCCTCGTTCTATTTATGACGTACTGACACAAAGTACAAATGATTTTCAATGGTCGCGTCCAGTGTAGACATGGTGTGTCAGCATAGTTTGTCAGTACATTCAGTAACATAGCAGATTGAAAAGTTAGTATCTTTCTGCAGTCCAATAGAAGGCAGTGCGGTGGTGGTTTGAGTCTGTTGAATGGTGATTTAATGCTACGTTGTCACCTAGTTGGTGAGACTCAATGCTATAAAGTAAATAAACAATGTCCCCGTCTTTTACTCACAATGAGCTTATCATACTCGTTTGCTACATTAGTAGGGCCCTATGATTTCCGCGATGTGTAAAACGCTGACGGAATCGCGGAATCCATTCGTAAAAACGGAATTTACTGTATAACGCGGAATTTCATGGAATTTGTCTTATTTTTGATGAATAAATAAAAAATAGGTCAGTATACTTAAATCAAATCGCGATATAGACTAGTGTCTGTGAATATTAAACTGCAAAAAACTATTTTAAATACGAATCCTCATGTTCTGCATGTTCATTTGTTTACCAGATAATACACAACACTGAATTATATATCGATATCCGTCTTTTTTTACTCCCTAATATCGGTATCAGCATCGGCCCCAAAAAACCCATATCAGTCGGGATCTAATTTATTTTTTTTTATTTATTTTTCTTATGAATAAAAAATGCAAAAGAACAGCCTTTATTTGAAATATAAATATTTTCTAACATTATAAACACCTTTACTGCCACTTTGATCAGTGCATTAATTAACGCATCCTTACTGAATAACAGTATTGGTTTCTTAAAGGGGTCCTATTATGCTCTTTTATAAAGTCTCGATTTTGTTTTGGACAGTATTGGTTTCTTAAAGGGGTCCTATTATGCTCTTTTACAAAGTCTTGATTTTGTTTTGGGGGTATACTAGAACATGCTCTCATGCTTGGTGGTTCGAAAAACGCATTCTTTTTCACATAATTTACATTATTACTCCCCAGCCTGGCACAAACAGCTCGATTAATTTCCGGGTTTGATGAAGGCCCGCCTTCTGAAAAACTAAATGTATTGTGATTGGTTAGCTGTCCCAGTGCGTTGTGATTGGCGAACAGCTTAGACGGTGTTTCAGTACTGCCCCACCCTTGCCAAAGCAGCAAGTTCCATCTGCTCCGGTATGGTTAAAGGTCCCCTGAAGTGCCTTGAAACACGCAGCGTTATTCTGTGTGGTGACGTAATTTCAACTTAAATTAGCCAATAGCGTTTTGTTTATATCTGCACGGGTCAGAGCCGTTGAGCTCGGTAAAGCCGCATTTGACAGCCACAGTCTAATAGATTACCCCCTAGATTCAATATGAAACTCTTAGTAAAACAAAATTGTGTTCATAATCAATGCTGAGGCTGTGTAGTTTTAAAAGTGTTTAGTATATGCCGACTCGCGCATATGATCCGCTCCGTGCGATCGCGTCTCTGGACCGGAGCCAAAGAGAGAGGGCGGGACATATCGAGCAGCCACGCCCCCTTTTTAAATTAGCCAATAGCGTTTTGTTTATATCTGCATGGGTCAGAACCTTTGAGCTCGGTAAAGCCACATTTGACAGCCACAGATTACTCCCTAGATTCAATATGAAACTCTTAGTAAAACAAAATAGTGATCATAATCATGCTGAGGCTGTGTAGTTTTAAAAGTGTTTAATATATGCCGACTCGTGCATATGATCCGCTCCGAGCTATCGCATCTCTGGACCGGAGCCAAAGTCCGGATCAGACTGTGCACGCTGCCGCGGTTCGCGTG